GATGAGGCGCTGCTGATCGGGGGGAATTACCCTCCTTGTCCTGAATCTTCGCTTTCACGTTGTCAATCGTGTCCGAAGACTCGACCTCCAAAGTGATCGTCTTGCCCGTAAGCGTCTTGACGAAGATCTGCATGCCTCCACGGAGACGAAGGACTACAGTGCGAACGTTAGAGGCCGATCACTAGGCAACGTCGCGAGTATACGTACCAAGGTGAAGCGTAGACTCCTTCTGGATGTTATAATCCGAAAGTGTACGGCCATCCTCAAGCTGCTTGCCGGCAAAGATGAGGCGCTGCTGATCGGGGGGAATACCCTCCTTGTCTTGGATTTTCGCTTTCACGTTGTCAATCGTGTCCGAGGACTCGACCTCCAAAGTGATCGTCTTGCCCGTGAGGGTCTTAACGAAAATTTGCATGCCGCCACGGAGACGTAAGACGAGGTGGAGAGTCGACTCCTTCTGGATGTTGTAGTCGGACAACGTGCGGCCATCCTCAAGCTGTTTCCCAGCAAAGATGAGTCGCTGCTGGTCAGGGGGGATTCTGAAACGTTGTCAATAAGATCAACCTTCAACCAGGGCAAGCCGCCACTTACCCCTCCTTATCCTGGATCTTAGCCTTCACGTTGTCGATGGTGTCAGAAGACTCCACCTCGAGGGTGATAGTCTTGCCAGTAAGGGTCTTAACAAAGATCTGCATGATCGTACGGGGTAAAGATAAGTGGTTGGAGGATGAGTCGACAGTGAGAAGTGAAGGACAGGTCCCTGCCCGCTGCGCACGTATCCAGCCTATATACCCCACAGGTTGCGGAGTTTGAAATGCCCCGGGTTACTTATTACTGCGCTCAATATGGAAACTCGAACTTGCTCGAACCCGGTCCGTGACACTCGACGTTGCATCTTGTCTCGGTGACTTACGAATCTGACAAAGCCTTGTCAAAACAGAGCGGATCACGGTAAGCCCTTTGATATCAGTAGAGAATCACATATGCTGGTGGCGCAAGATATAATACGTGGCGGAACTCGACAATGCTACGTGGACGGCGCATTTTTGTCATACCAAATTCGAATAGTGAGATCTTTCTCCATCGAAGCGGAGGCGATAATTGGGCGATGCGGATGGCTCTGCAGCGTAATTCGCAATAAACCACGTTAGAACCTGGCGCGAGAAATAACGAGAAGAACGTACAGCCGCAGCTATGACAACATCTTCAGACACATCGTTAGCACGTCGAGAAAACTCTTAAGGCAACCGCTGTACTCATACCTCGATGTGCTTCGAGCACCTGAATAATTTGTCGGCTCTGCAGATCCCACAAGTAGACCTTGCAGTCTTCGCTGCCACTAATAATCTGCTTCCCACCAGTCGCGAAATCCACGAAGATCGAGTATGTACGGTTCGTATGGCCCTTGTACGTTTTGACGCAGCGGGATGTCTGAGTGTTCCAAAGACGGACAGTTGAATCTTGCGTCGATGCCAGAATAAAGCGCGAATTGGGGGTAAACTTTATGTGCGAACTGTGAGTATAAGGTCAGGCGCGACTTGCGTACCAATGTAGTCACAGCATTTCGCACCATATAGGATTATCGTCATCGACCAAGGTTTTGAGACATTGGCCAGAGTCTGCATCCCATATGCGGCTACACATGCGAAGTCAGACGAGGCTGCAGCCAGTCTGAAGTAGACCTACATCAAGCCGTCCATTGAACAAGAGGCTACTATTGTTCCGTCGTGATTGAAAGTGACTGCTGTGACAGGGTCAGAGTGTGCTGGCAGTGTCTTCAACGGTCTGCCTGTCATCGTTTACACTGAGCTAACTGACATGCGTGTACGTGGCTCGTTGAAACATACCTCTGGCAACATCCCAAAGTCGCACAGTCTCGTCAAAGCCTCCTGAAACTAACAGGTTGGATGAGGGGCCGAAGTTCACGCAGAATACGAAATTTGTGTGGCCCTGCAACACTTTGGCCACCGCCAGCTGTGGGTACCGGTTAGCACGCCAGCAGAAGTGGCAAAGCGAAACACACGCCTCTTCAACACTCCAGATCCGTATAGTTTTGTCATCTGAAGCCGAAGCGAGGAACTCTCCATCATGAGACCAAGCGACGTCGGATATGCCCTCTGTATGCCCTTCCAATGTCTGGATAAGTTCGCCATTGTATACGTCCCAAATCTTCACGACCTTGTCGGCGGCTTCCGTACATAAGTTGTTTAACACGGCATGAGATACAAATGCTCACCACAAGACGCGAGCATGGTCCCATCCGGGCTGAACTTGATGGCAGAGATTGACCGAGCATGTCCGCTCAGTACGTACTTGGCCTTATAGTCTGGCACGCCATCGTGTAACATAGGTATATCAGGAACGGCTGGAGGCTGCTCTTCCTCAACCTCTTGATCTTCCACAATCGCGCCATTGAGCGGCGTCGACACCTCAGGGGACTGTTCAACAAGAGATTCGACTTGCACATCCTCCATTTCAGGGTCTTGTCCGTTCAACTCCAGCGCACCGTTTGTCGCATCTTCTGGCACGTCTGAATATATGTCATGATCCGGTGTTATCTCAGCTTCCATAGCGCGCGTGCCTTCGCGTCGTCCTGTTGTGGTGAGAAGTAAAAGGGGTGTATTGCAGCGGTGGCTCAAGCGAACAGATAGACTGGCGCCTCAAACTTTTCAAGTGATCGGCTCAAGAAGCGCCGGAGCTAGTCCAGGTTCTCCTCAAGCTCGTTCCCCCCGGTCAAATATTCCACCTATACCGCCAAAAATGACCTCTGCTACGACCTGGGCGACCCCTCCAACTCGTACCGAGCTGATTGAGAACTTAGTGTCTGGTGTCGGTGAGCGTACAATTGTGGAAGCGCAATCATCTCTACTCACACAAAAGTTGCAATAATCAGATCGGTATAACCCTTCGAATGTGGGTATCCTAGAGGACTACCTCTACCACCAGATACGTAGCGAGGAGTACGATTGCCTCGCGAACCTCGCCATCCTGAAGCTGTAAGCCTATTCATGTCCATACATGCCCCCGTGTTAATATACACATCAGCTACCAGTTCAATCCAGACCTCCACAATCCTGACGTTGTGATTAACATCCTCATCAAGGCTCTGGCTGCACTCCCGTTCCCCGACTTCAACCTCTGCATCTCGCTCCTCGACGAGCGCCCTGTCACTGCGAACCCAGACGAGCCTGACCCGCTGCCTTCGCTCCTGCCCGTGCTCCAGTCGCTACACAACCTGCTCCAACAGTGCCGCTTTCCCGCGTTTTGGACGCTCTACCGCTCTGAGAAGGCCGAGTCGCTACGCGACAATTATACTGTTGAGGTCGTCGGATTCGAGAACGCGGTGCGAGAGGTCGTCGTTCGTGCGGTGAAGGCGGCTTTCCAGCGCATTGGCAGCCAACGTTTGAGCAGCTACCTTGATCTCTCGGGTATGCCCATAATGCAGCTGATTAATCTTGGATGTGCTGACGACTTGTGCAGGAGAAGAGCTGTCAGCATACGCCGAGAAACTGGGATGGGCTTTCGACGCTTCGACAGGCGTCGTCTTGATCCCACCAAACCCAGACAACCAAATCGAGTCAACAGTCGTGCAGGAGAACATCCAGCTGCCGCGTACGTTATACAGTGTCAGACACATTCTGTGAAAAGCTGACACCCGCATACATAGAACTTGTGAAGGTGATCACACATGCGCAGGCAGCATAGTCATCAAAAGTAGTTTGTATACCTCATGCATGCCATACGATATAATCAATGGTATCGGTGTATTCTTCCAAAGCTCCGAAATTACATACATGAAAGGGCGCCGTTGATGCTATACGAGAGTCGTGTCTAGAATTTTGTCTATACGTTCATGAAGTTCATGCGGTTTGGCCACAGGCAGCCTTTTGAACATCTACTATCCTCTGTCATTCTTCATACGCCTCCCTCTCCTGCAGACCAAAACGCTGCTGTCGTTCCCCAGGTGGCCATGGTGACCCCTGTCACCAACAGGAAGCCGTCCCATAGGGTACACCGGCCAGAGAGCGCAACCTTGGCAGATACTGGCCCGATGACACAGAGCAGGAATGCGGAGAAGGACCCCAGGAACGCCATCATTGAACTGAACTCCGGTACGAGGATCGAGACGGTCACCGACAAGATAGTGAACACTGCACGCTCGACCACAATCAGGAAGCGCTTCAGAGCGAGGCGACGCTCGGACGGCGGCGTGGCGTTACTGTCGACGCGAGGCGAGTTCGACTTTGCTAGAGCACCATGGTCGTCCGGTGGGGCTGTGCTCGTGTCGATACCGAGCATGATCTCAAGTGTGATACTCAGCTGGAGACAGTATGAGGGAAACTTCATATGCAGGCGCGACAACGAAGATTCTCACCGGGCGAGTTGAAAGCGCGAACTTGGAGAGCGGGGCAACAACCAATCCCCAGAGTGCTATGCGGTTCAGGGTGCGGTTGTACCCCGGAACGAGCATAAGCTCTTGACTGAACTACACACCGCACAGTCAAGTTCCGCCCAAACGAGGATATCTCCGAGCCCGACTCACCTCGTCGCTGACATCGCCACCAAACATCAGGTAGCCTGTAACACCAATAGTCGTGTAGATGGCTGTGGCAATAGAGAACGCCCAGTTGATCATTGCGTCAAACTGAGTAGGGTCTATCATGTCCCTGGCCAAGGAAGGGATGACAGCATGTCCCGAGAGCTGAATTTTAACGTGAGTTTACTAGTTGAAGAGGGTACATGGCTGTTCAAATACTTACTCCGGCCATGAACAAACCAAAAGAAAGGCCTAGCTGTCCCAAGCCAGCAAAAGTTAGGCTTGTATGCGCCGGCTCCCATAAGCTGCCGGGTGCTTCTGCTTTGGAGAAGCCATCGATGAACATGACGACAACCAAGAAGAGCGTGGATAGAATTCCAAGAATCGACGCATATGAAAGGAGTGACAAAGGCATAAGCACTGTTGGGACCAGACTGTTGTGTCCATCAGGCGATTAGAATGCAAGAAAATATCAGCGAGAACTTACACCATCAAACCAATGACCTTGTACGTGTTCGGGGAGTATGCTGGTACAACAGCATGGAGCGAGTCACCGTACAAGGTAACAAGTGCAACACTGAGAGCTTTGGATTGAGTTTTGTGCCGCAAATAAAACATACGCATGCACATACCTAACTGTGAACAGCTCTAAACAGAAGAGAGCACTAATGAGCGGGCTGGATCGTGGCCCAAACGCCTTACGGCCGATATCAGAATAAGATCTTAGTTTCGCATCGTCCAGGATGATGTGCGCCAGGATCTTTGCGCTGTCATAAACGCAATCAGCTTCTCAATAAAATGAACAGAGACAGTGGGCTTACGTATAACACGTAATGTATCCATAAAATATCATGAGGAACATGCCTCCTATCCATCCCGCGTATGCGAACGCTAACGGTTCGGAGAGCATGCCTATCCCGAGCAGGATGGCTATAGCGTTGAACAGCTATCGCGTACCATCAACTGACGAACGCAGCCCAATATGCTGAAGACTCACTGTCTGCCCGAAGGTGCTCTGCCCGGCCTGGACTGCCTTTGAGCTCATGCTCCCGCGGCGCGATCTCGCGCTAATCTGCGACGCGCGACGCATCAGGGTGTGCGGGGGGCCCTCTATGGGCATCGCGATGCTCGGCAGGACGTCGTTACCTGCGATCGGACGGGGCGGCTCCGCGAAGGTCAGACTTGTAGCCTTACGCAGAAGCGGTGTGTTCTCGCGCGCCATACGAGGGCTTGCGGGGTGCGCGAACCTGGGCGACGCATTGAAAGGTACGATGGTGTCTTCGGTGCCCTGGCGTGTGTAACGTGGGTGTACCCCATACCGACGCGGGCCAGGTTGGGCATCGGTCGCGGCGGCCGAGGGCTCGGACGGGAGGTCTTCGTCCCACTGCAGGTTGCCGACGGCTGCGTTCGGGTCGTACTGGACCGCTTGTGGAAGGCGCTCCTCGACATCTCGGTCAGAGCCGTAATCCTCATCCTCGACGTCAGACTCGCGGTCATAGACATCGTCCCATTCGTCGTCCGTCGCGGAAACGGACACTGAGTCGGAGAAATATAGCTGCGAGCGGCGGTCTGACAAGGCGAGTCAGCGGGGGCTTGGCGAGTGAGCACGGCAAACTTACAGGCTTCAAAGGCATCGCGCATGCCCGAGGTCGAGTGCGAGCCAAAGACGAAGGAGCCTTGGTAGGAGGACATCGTGTGGGTCGTTAGGGTCGTCAGTCGTTCGTGGAGGGCGAGGGTGGGCTCCACTCGAGCTCGCCTTGGTTGCAGATAAGGCCGGCCTCTAGAAGCAATCTTTCGAAGATGAAGGAAGGCCGAGACAGCGGTCAAGAGGGGGCCCAACCGAGAGTGGACGTCAGGAATAACGTTAGAAAACTCACCGAAGAGCCGCGAAGAGCACAGCACCTCCCACTCCTATGAGATCAGACGTCCGTTGGACATGTCATAGGAGTGGGCTAGATCCGACCGCCGGTTGGTACATTATATTAAGAAGAGAAGACCCAGAGCGGATCTCTACATGGATGAAAGCCAAAGAATGTGATCAAGTGCAGAAAACGTAATTATCGTGATATCTACTCTAGGGGGTGGCCCAATAGCCGGACAGACTAGGCTGCATTCACCGCCCGCCGGTTCGTCCACTGCATGTACGGCTCTCGAATCAGTTCCGAACCCGTGTGCTTGGTGCGTGCACTCCGCCGTGCCTCTGGTACAACCATCTTCGATGCGAGGTCCTGAAAGTTAAAGTCGGTCAGCTCAGGAACATGACAAGCGAGCTGCACCGGCTACTCAAACGCACCGCTGTACGCCGGCGGATGCCAGGACCGATGTGCGGCCACCACTTGGCCAAGGCGTTCTTGAGCGCAAGCTCTCGGACGCCCTTGGGATTCAGCCAGGCGACGTACTCATCGATCTGCAGGAGATTCAGGTCAGCAGACACACATTGAAGTTTGCCTGGGGACGCACGGTCTCAATATCGTCAAACACCGCCCACTCTCCCACCTCAAGCATTCCTTCGTCACCTTCCTCTTCCCTCCGCCTAGCCACCACTTCCTCACCTCTTCTCTGGAGTATCTCCATGTCGAACTCACTCGGCCCCTGCAAGAATATTCTACCGGTGCCGTACTGTACGCTCCCACCTGTACCGAGGAGCGACGCGGAGCCCATACCGTCGAACCACCACACTCGGTTGTAAAACCGGTCCCTGCCCAGCGGTTTCACGCGTACCGCACCGAGCAGCTTCCGGAAGTCGCGTTCGATCTGCTCCAGACGCCGCTCGCACTTGTTCACCTCCTCGTCCAGCCGGCGCGACTCCGCCAGAGCTTGTTTCTGTGACGCCTGCTTTGCGCGCGCGAGCTGACGCTCTGTCGCCTGTGTCCGCCGTGCGCTAGCTCGTGCACCGGGCGCCGACGAGCCTGTCTCTGTCTCGCCGTCGGACCCGGGGGCATCGGAGAGGTCGCTGGACTCGTGGACAGGAGTGTTATCTCCGACACCGTTCGCAGCCTTCTTCTCTCCATTCTTCTCCCCATCTTTGTTCTCGCCTAGTAGAGCTGCAATCTCTTCGATACTGGAAAGTCTTGTGATTAGACTCTCAGTAGGCTGACAAGTAATGCGAGTACGTACAACTGCTTTTTGGAGCGGTTTACCTCGATCTTTTGTTTCCGGAGCTCAGTCAGCTGCTCTTCGCAAGATTCCATATGTGCATGGATAGCCTTGCTTGATATCGCTTGGTTGCAGAGGAATGCAAGAATTGCGGCCTTATCGGTGGGCGGAAGTAGGTGGTATCGCTCTCTAGGTGAGGCACTCGTGGATAAGGGCAATGGTTGAGGACTAGTCGCCGGCGTTGCAGGTACAGAGGCACCTTCAGTAGGCGGATTCGGCGTCGGGAAAGGCGCAAATAACAGACGAACGAGAATCTCCGGCAGGCGGGGAAAATTCTCGAGATTGGCGTGCTGCGTAACAATGAACCAGCTGATCGGTTGAACATGCTCAGAATATACACTTACGTCTTTCAAGCAGCCAATGAGAGACTCTTCCCAACCGTCGCGACCCTCCCCGTGCCTCAACGGCGCACGCTCCCAGTTATTCCCTACATCACTGACAGACTCGATGAGCATATACAATGCGATACCTAGCACCTCGGCCTCCTTTCCGATTTTATCTTGTAGGTTTATGAGGGAGAGAACGGCACTGTGTCGGGTGAAGGGAACGGTACGCAGATTGTATATTAGTGTCGAGTGCACTTCCGCGACGAGTGCGCATTGCGGGTCTGTGATAGAATGACGCAAAGCCTGATCGTAATCATCCATCGTGAATGATGATATGTGCAGTGGATTGCTGAACATTCGAGGTTAGCACATCGAGAAACTCGCTGCACGCCAAGACAGGAACTTACCCGTAAACATTAAGGAAATTCCATGACATGATGAAATTCTCATTAGCCAGACGGTCTGTGCCAAATGGCATGCCGGTGCGGCTTGCAGCAGGTCTCTTGAGCTTCATCCCTGCCTTCTTCTCCTTGTCCCCAATCACAACGTCGAGGTCTTCCGTGGGATATCGTATAGGCTTCTTCTTTTTCTTCTCAGCAGCAAGTCGTTCGCTCTCCTCCTTTGCCTTCTGCTCGGCCTTCTCTTGAGCCTCGCGCTCCTTGCGCGCTGCGCCACCGTTGCCCAAAAGATGAGTCTTGTTCATGCGATAACCAAGGAATAGACGAACCTTTCTCCTCTTCAGCAGCAGCTTGCTTCTTCTGCTTCTTCGT